TTAGCCCCGTTGACAGATCTTGTTATTTTTTAAAATTATTTTTTATTACTTTTAATAAAAATGTATTTTACAATCAATCTTGTTTATAATGAAATAATAATTTTGTAATAATAATTGTATATTTTTAGTCTAATTTTTGTAATCTTTCATCTCTAATAGCCCAAAATTAAAAAAACTTTTTTCCGGTAATTAAAAAAGAAGTTCATGGAAATATACATTTTCATTTTTATTAGTCACATTGAAGTTGTGCTGAAAAAAAGTACTTTTTCTATTTTATATTGTAATGAATTCGAAAGGAATCGCTCAATCGCAAGTAGTATGTAACATTGTTGACAGATGGACGATTATATTTTATTTCTTATAATTAAAAACTATATAAGACAGAATAAAAGATACATTATAAGATTTTTGAATTATGTTCTAGTGAAACGATGACGTAATGCTTCGAAAGCATTTCTAGTGATGTCTTAAAGGTAAACCCATAAAATTGATTTTCGAGATTAAATTAACATATTTTGACTTCAATTTTTGTGTAATAGTTAACTTACGAACCTAATATAAATTTCTGATGAAATATATTTGTTGGGTATATTATTTAAAAACTGTTTCGATTTCATTGTCAATTTTTATGATTATTTTATAAAAAATTTATGATTATTCTATAAAAAGATTTCTTTTGTATCTAAAAAAGAGCTCAGAATTGATAATATAAAAGAGAAATTAAATGGAATTCTTATGAACATTTTTAGATACTTTTTTTGGGATTGCTAATGTTTAGCAATTTATTCACTGTATAAATTTTAACAACATTAATTTTATTATGTGTCTTGATGAAATCTATACCAATTTTGTTTCAACATTTTTTATTAGGACAATAAATATTAATTATTTATTTATTAAATATTTACACATATTTACCTTAATACATATTAAGAAATGTGTATATCAATAACATTTGATAAATTAATAAGATATTTAATTTAAATTGATATAGTTAGATATTTGATATATTGCAATCCTACTTTCAACATTTAATTCCATTTCATTTCCAAAAATAATTATTT